CCAGGAGGTTGTGGGTCCCAGTGATGTACCATGGGGTACGACATTACGAGGTTTCAAGGGGAGGTGGATGAAGACCTGCTGTGCCCTATATGTAGCGGAGTGTTAGAAGAACCAGTGCAGGTGAGTCCACGTCTGAAAGATCACGCACCTGAATTATGTCCTGACTTTTTCCAGATTTTCTTAATTCACTGTTTTCTCTATTTCCCCTCCAGGCTCCACATTGTGAGCATGCCTTCTGCAATGCCTGTATAACGCAGTGGTTCGCCCAGCAGCAGATTTGCCCTGTTGACCGCACAGTGGTGACGCTAGCTCACCTCCGGCCCGTGCCCCGCATCATGCGCAACATGCTGTCCAAGCTCCAAATCAGCTGTGACAACGCAAGCTTTGGCTGCACGGCCACGCTGCGACTGGACCAGCTGCAGTCGCACCTCAAAGACTGTGAGCACAACCCCAAAAGGCCCGTCAACTGTGAGGAGGGATGTGGGTGAGTGGCTTCCACTTGGCAGGAAATGCACTGTGGGTGGGCAGTTGGATGAATATAGCGTCTGTCGGCGATTTGAGTCCATCGTTTATCAGGGGGGGGGTCATTGTTTCTGTGATTTGTCGTTTTATTTAGCTAATTTAATGATCTGCCTCCGAGGATTGATTCAACTGTATAAATGAACCCACTAACCGGCACTTATTCTATTTTATATTTAATTAATTCATTTCATCCTCACTTTCTCTCTCTCATGCGCTGACATCAACTCAGCTGACGTCTCTGACTCGTAGCAGTTCAAACTTTGTTTTGGTTGTAGCCACTGTTTCATTGTCAACATGGATCCACACATAATGATCGATACTTAAATGAGTGAAATCTTTCTTCATAGCTGCTCACATTTATTCTTTTATTCACCCCCTCCTGCATTCGCTCCCTCTTTTCTCTCACTCACTCAAACACACATGCACAACATCATCTGACACTAATGTTCACTGTTAACACATTGATTATAAATTCCTTTAGTCCAAAGTAACAGACACTAGGGCGTTAAAAAATTATTACCATCAAATATTTGTGCAGTAATTTATGACCTGTTGCCGTTATGGTATTGATTCCTGTCTTTCCTCTTCCCAACTCCTGCAGGCTCGAGATGCCCAAAGATGAACAGCCCAACCATAACTGCATCAAACATTTGCGGAGTGTTGTTCAGCAGCAACAGTCAAAGATTTCAGAGCTGGAGAAAAATGTGGCAGAACATAAACACCAGCTGGGCGAGCAAGTAAGAACATTTGTCTGCATATTGGTGTTATAACCTGAAATACTACATTCTTTACATCTGCAGGTTTGATAAGCATGATACAGGATTACATGGATTCATGTTTGTTTACACAGTAGAACTGATAATATATCTGGGCAAAGTTTAATGTGATGAAAACGAATTCAGACTTGCACATTAAAAAGTCAAACTTGAGTCTTTTTTTCCGCACCTTAGTCGAACACAATATTCTAATTACTGGTTATGTGAGCGATATGTGAACATTAATACTTTAATATGAGTAGAATGATATTTAGCATGTATAATTATTTTTAATCATAGTAATTACTGCACTACTTCTTGGTTATTGCCAAGTTGGAATCTACTCTAACTGTCAGCATCTGTTCTCAATCCAATAAAAATGAAAATACCTGATCCAAAGGAATTAATTTGAAATATATTGCCCCCTGATTTGTGTATCCTCTCAAGCTGGCTGTCACATCAATCGATGATAAACTCCAGTTTAGCTTTAGCAAATCTTGTGAGATCAGTCACTGAAGCTGGTTCCTCTTCATCTCCAGAAACGAGACATTCAGCTGCTGAAGGCCTACATGAGAGCAATCCGCAATGCTAACCCGAACCTGCAAAACCTTGAAGAAAGCATCGAATACAATGAAATCTTAGAGTAAGTTCACTGTCTTTTTTCCTCTCAGAGTTTGTATTCTAAGGTTGATATTGTCACGGTGCTGCAGCTCAGTCCTTGATTTTCTGGTGGTTTCTTTTTTTCCACCAGGTGGGTGAACTCCATGCAGCCTGCCCGGGTGACACGCTGGGGGGGCATGATCTCTACCCCTGATGCCGTGCTCCAGGCAGTCATCAAACGCTCCCTCATCGACAGCGGCTGTCCTCTCTCGGTTGTGAACGACCTGATTGAGAACGCCCACGAGCGTAACTGGCCGCAGGGGCTGGCCACCCTGGAGGTGCGGCAGATGAACAGACGCTACTATGAGAACTACGTTGCCAAGCGTATCCCTGGCAAACAGGCCGTGGTGGTGATGGCGTGTGAGAATCAGCATATGGGGGAGGATATGATCCTGGAGCCCGGCCTGGTTATGATCTTTGCTCACGGCGTGGAGGAGATCTTATAACTGTACAGCCAACTGAGCTGAGAGACAAGCGGGGACGTTTTGGTTGGGGGTTTGCTGTGACGAGTAGTTTTTTTAACTCGTTAGAGTGAAACCTTCCAAATAAATCTGGCTTATTTAAAAAAAAAAAAAAACTGAATCTTCTAAGAGGCTCACTCCTAAGCTTCATACCTATGCCTTAAAATAAGGACAAACACATAATGAACCTGGCAAATAAACTTAATCTGACTGATATCGAAGATAAAAGGTGAGATGTGATGTTTACAAGGTTTATATTTAGTGCATTATATGATCTGATTGTTCTGCTCCATGTCCTAATATAGTAATAAGCTTGAGCCCCCATTTAATGTCCGCAGTTGTATAAATGCTTGTAAATACAAATACTATATTGAATTATAACTGTCTCTTATTCCCATTACTGTAATTAGATTGTGGTTTCTGTTAATCTCGGTTTTGTTCAGTCGACCTGTGTCACCGTCTGCAGGGACGTCGGCTCTGTTATTTTTTTCGAGCTTGCTTCTTTTTTTTTTTTAGTATTTAGACTCCTGTGAATATTTTACAAGACGTTGTGCTTCTCAGTTTAGATTGTCCAAACCTTCTGTGCCATTGATTTTATTTATTGTGTTGCCTTTTACACAGACATGCTTGAAGATGTTACCATTTGATGTATGGAAATCTGCCTTTTTCGGTGCATTTGAAGTTCATTGCAGGAAGAAGAATTTGATTTTTGTGTTTTCTTTGTTGCCTCAGTTGTATATATACGTACTCTGTATGTTGGGTCCAGTTGAATGGTTAAATTGCAATTTTAACATTTAGGATATGCCTATGTGTAATGAGTTTTATCTGACAATTCATGGTGGTTCACCTGATGAGGTGATCCTGAAACATAGACACTGATCTTCTCATTTATCACAGTTATCATTCATCTATTCACTGACATTTCACTGAGAACCACAGCTTGGAGATTGTATAAATATTTGTGAAGTCACTCTTATGGCTTTTGAGAGGTAACAATGTTTCACCATTCGTCACTTATTGCTGATATAAGATAAACAAGACTCCAGACATGTGGTAGAAAAGATCAATCAAGTGCAGTAAATCATAAGTTGAATTGTGCCCTTTATTTTTTTCCCTATTAATGTTTTTGTTTTGTGTCTGTTATGTACTGTGTTGTACAGACAAAGTAATAAAATGACAAACTTCATCCCAAAAAACAGAAACGTGTTTTCTCACTGGGATAACATGAATTTAAATTTAGCATCTTAATTACGAAAAAGAAAAATGCAGTTCCTCGCTTTACCACAGCATGGCATCAGAGATCTGCGAGGGGCTTTGTTACTTGAGGGCACAGCAGCTGAATACATGATGGAGTCTGAAGATGAAAACGACTGGTGCTTTAAAGAAACTGCAGTGGCGAGGAGGAGAGGAGGAAGCGGGATGAGAAATGCTCTTGCTCCAGAAAACAAGTCGAATCCCGGAGTTCCCAGAAGGAGGAGGAGGAGGAGGAGGGTCTGACTGCTCTGATCTGACTCACTCTTCTTTAACCCTGACACCCACACGTTTTCCACGTCTGCCATCCTCTGCTGAACAGCCTCCTCCTCATTGTGGACACTAATCCCTCAGCATTGTGGTCAGTGGAATTTGAAATCATGTGCTCCACCAGAGTGGCTGTGGCTCTGTTATTCTCTTGCGCTCATTATGTGATGTGGTTGTTGGGATAAGATGCACAGCCGATCCCATGCTGACCACCCTGTGACGTGTATACGAGCAGAACTACATTTACCTAAACTACTGATTGATCTGGGATGTACACGATCCCAGTTAGCTTTATCTTCTGAATGTGTGTTTTACTTGGATTGTTCCTTGTTCTGTATTTGTATGCATCATATTCAACGTGTTCATTTATTCACTACGTCTTGTTTGTCTGTTTCTTATTGCTTCCTCTCACTCGACTTCATAGTGGTTTTGTAAAATACCGGTCCCAGTGAGAGTTATGCTATTAAAGGTGCAGTGTGTAGAATTCAGTGACATCTAGTGGTGAAGTTGCGTGTTGCAGCTGAACACCCCTCACCTCACCCTCTCCTTCCAAACATGACAGAGAACCCGTGGAAGCCTTTAATTGTCATAAAAACTCAAAAGGTGTTTTGTAAAAAAAACACGACGGCCTCCGTAGAGAGGGTCCCCTCGCTGTTAATATAAAGTATTTCAATACACAGCGTTCCTTCTAGTGTTCAGAAAACAACAATCAATACCATTTGTGAGATGAGACACACTAGTGAAAACATCACAAGGATTATTTTATATTCACTTTGTGCCGGTAGATTATTTTCTGTCTGCTCTCTGGTAATGATATGATTCCACAGAATGTGCATGTTACCACTGATGACGGACACGCACTCTTGTCTTCTAACCTCAAACCAAGTGTCCCCAAAATGTCCTCACAGCTCTGGTCCTCACAACTACAGAAACACACACACACACACACACACACACACACACACACCCCTGTGTGACGGAGGGGGTGTGTTGGTTTGCGGAGCGGAGCAGCTGAGGCGGTGCTTGTCAGGAAGGTCCGCTCACACTCAATCTCTCTCTCTCTCCGCAGTACTTCAGTCTGTCTCCTCCTGTCTCCTCCTGTCTGCAGGGAAACTTAACGGACTCTTTGCTCCTCAGCGGAAAATCCTGGATTTTCATCTCATGAGTTTCCTGGAGAACTGATCCAGCGACAGAAAGGTAAAGAGACACACACAGAGAGAGAGAGAGAGAGGGAGAGAGAGGGAGAGAGAGGGAGAGAGGTGCAGACTCGTCGCGTTGAAGTTTCAGCTGCAGAGACTCGACATCGAGCGGATCTTGCTGCCACAACATGTAAGAGATGTGCACGAGCTCTTTGCATGAGGATTTAATTTCTCTACACAGTCCTGGGTGTGTGTGTGTGTGTGTGAGTGAGTGTGTGTGTGTGTGAGTGAGTGTGTGTGTGTGTGTGTTAATTACTGAGTAATTCAACATCCAACAGGGCAGAGCTGCTGTTTGAATGTTACCCTGATGTAACATCCTCTGCCCTCTAGGTCCTCATAAGATAAGATAAGATAAGATAAAATGAGATAATCCTAACTTTAATTTGTAGTCGAAGTTCATTGAGGGAGGTCGAGCGAGAGAAAACAATAAGGAACAGACGTAGTGAATGAATCAACTCAGTGAATCAGCATCAGCAATATACAAGAGAATACAGCGACTGAAACAATACAGTCTAAACATGTAAGTGTTTTGTGAATTAAATATATTGTATAAACCGAGTAATGCAGAACCAGCGCCTCATATTAAATATCAGTGGGGATTAAAATCATGAATGAAATAAACTAAAGTGTCAGTAGATGATTCGGGATATTATGGGATAGAATTCTCCTCAGTTGATGCTTGTTAATGTCAGGCTGCTTGAGTTTCCTGCTTCTTCTTCTTCGTCTTCTTCACGGGGAACCCTGCCCTCAGGTCAGGGTTTAGACTATTTTGGGTTCTGCTCTCTTTAAATAGTTTTGGAGTTAAGGTCTCCACTATGTGTTTTACTCACAGCTGCCAACACTCGACATAGTGCAACTTAATAAGTGGCTCACCGGCTGTTGTTTGATCGGGTTTTTATCTGTGAGTGTTGTAAGATGTGGCCGCTGCACCAGAGGAGACAGTGAATCAGACCTTTGACTCCTCCGGGGGGGTTTTCACTTTGTCTCTGTGTGACTCAGGGTCAGAAGTGCTGGTGTGAGGCAGTGGAGGATGGTGGGCGTTGGTGGGCACTGATCCTTGTTATTGATATTTGCCTGAGTGACTGTCAGCCCACCTGGAAAAACGAAACAAACAGGAACGTCTTGAGTCAGACGTCAGATTCTGCTCCACTTTATCTCCAGGGGACAGGTTCTTTTACAGATGATCGATGATCTCAACCAGTCAGGTCAAATGTCCTGTTGTTGATGTTTATATCTGAGACTAGAGGCTGTGAACTGAGGGAAGCTGAGCGTATTTTACGCTCTGTGGTTTCGTTTTCCATCAGGGTCGAGGCGATGTGGCCACAAATTATATGAGGATAAAAAGTTTAATCTCAGTCAGTATCGATAAATATCATGATAAATGTCACATTTGTTGCCAAGGAGGAAATGTTTATATCTCTTTGTCTGCTAGTGAACAGGATTACGCCAAAACTGCTGGAGTGATTGTCAGGAAACACGGTGGAAGAATAAAGAATGCGTCACAAGAGAATCCTTTTCATTTTGTTGTTGATCCGGTTCAGGGACTGGATTGAGTTTTCGATTTCTCTCTCTAACATTTTGAGAGAAAAAGAAAAGATCTTTGTTTAAAGAAAAGGTCTTTGTTTAAAACACCTCACTGTGAAAACGATGCGTTCGTGCAGCAGAGAAGCACGTGCTCTACTTCTTGTTTCTCAATACAAGAAACTTAAAACTTCATATTTCTACGATAAAAACAAATCGATTATCAGCTCTTTTAAGACGCATTGTTCGATCCCCTGTGCTGTGACATGACTGGTGTGATCTGATCCATTTTATTTTTCGATTCTCTACATGCAGCAGTTCACTTCCTTCATTTTATCATGAATCCTGTGTTAATAACTACGACTTCAATCTGTTTTTGTTGGAAAATTGTCAGTATTTTATTATGATCAGGTCATAGAAGTGATTAGAAGTTGCTTTAGTGCAGCCTCGTCCATTCATACGTAGAAAATAATTCACAGTCATGTACACTGTAGTTCTCTCAGATCCCTGGATGACGTTTTACCCTGATACATTGAAAAATGTGACCTTGGATGTTTCAGTTGTGTATGAATCTGTGGGTGAACCACCCGAGACTCCCTGATAGATATGTGCACACTCTCACACAGCAGAAGCAGTGTGGTGGTTGCACGCTCACAAGTCTGTGCAGGTTTTCTCGTTTTTCTTTTTTTGAACGCAGCGTGATCTTCTACAAAGCTTCCTACACACAACGAGCCATTACAAGTCACGTCTGAGCTCAGGGTGATCGGCAGTCGTCACTTTGAAGCCGCAGAGTGAGGGAAGCCTTGTCTTCGTTTCCCAAGAAATCAGTGATTCATTTGTGGGGAATGTCCTTTTCTTTTTTTCTTCTTTTGACCTGATTTACCATCGTATGTTTATTGTGCACAGACTGTTCCTCTAACTCTATCTGTTGTACTCCTCAGTTCTTTAAAATACAGTGGTAATGAAGGGAATGCCCCTTTTTAACAGCAGTCCTTGTTGTTCTCTCTATTTATTTATTTTTTGCATCATTACGCAACAGTTTTATTCAGTTGATGAATCTCACACTGAGCAGATCCATGTTCTCGTTCCAAAATTTGGAGCACACATTTAAAAATGAAAACATATATTTCTGCTTTGAACAATGGAGGCTTAAAAACGTTTGCCAGTTCGTCCCTGACACTGAAACAGTGAAGATAAAACAAACAGGGGAAGTAGTGGTCACAGTATGTGGCTCTACAGATAGAAAAGTGAAGAAACTGTATTTTCTCCTTCGCTGTTGTTCCACGAAGTGAAAAAGTTCTTGGCCTGCAGAGGAAACAGTTCAATAATAGCAAGGGAGTGTTCCCCCTGCCCATGCAGTGAGTCACAGTAGCATCTGCATGTAGAATGTAATTTAGCCGCTGGTTTGGAAGGCCAGTGCTGGTGGCGTGGGAGGAGGTGCAGCTGCAAGGGGGAAGACTGGCAGCTCACTGACCGGGCTCCCCCCTTCTCTGAGACGGCTGCCCTCCGCCTGCACTTCCTCTTCCTACCTGTTAGTCACCCATAGCAGCGGTCTGACGGAGAGCAGCTGATGGAGGGAAACACTTTCCACAGCAACCAAGCACGTCTGTCCTCCCCCTCCTCCTAACCCGCTGCAATCTGCACACACTTCAGCCAAGAGAAGCGTTGGAGTTCGAGGAGGAAAGCAGATGCCCGACGTTAGACCTCAGCTGAAAGAACCTACGCAGTGTTTTCCAACCACAGAGTGACGGAGTCGAAGGCTTTGCACCCTGCAAGTGTTGCAAAACAGCAGATTTGCTTGACACAAGGCGTGGGTGTTACGACAGCTTGCACAAACATTAGCCTCCGTGGAAAAAGGTCATCCCCAGGCATACCTTGAAGTGATTCTTGTAAAGAGAGTCTTTTATGGCTGTTGACAGTTGTGCATAAGGGCATGAAGGTTTTATAGTTGTGTGTCTGTGTCTGTGTGTGTGTTCGTGTGTGTGTGTGTGCCAGCTGAACTGTCCACTCTAATCCTCCACTTATGAATTTTTATGAAGCAGTTGATTTGGTGTTTTGCAGTCGAGCGGTCAGAAGTAAAATCAAGCGTCAGTTGGTTTTTCAGAGGTTTTCAGGGGAGTGGACGCTGCGTTCACAATCTGCTGCTGCCCAGAGAACCACTTCAACATTGAAATTGTTCTTTCTGAAGAAGCAGTGAGTCAGTGGGCCTCTGCTCGAGCGTGCTGCACCGTGTATTCTGCCCTGACTACATGGAGCTAAATCTTACCTCAGACCGTCTGCAGAGCAAACCCACGTACGTCAAGGATGAACGACGGATGTCGAACACTGAATCTAAAACATGATTTACTCTATAAAGCCACATCCACATTTTCCTTTATGAAACCACTTTTAATCCAGCAGTGTAAGTTAATGAGTACCGGGCCACGGGCAGTTAGTCACACGCTCTGTATTAAATCCTAACAAGCCTCAGACATTCCTGCAACCTGCTGAAATATTTACACTTGCCTCAGTAAGCTCATTCAGATGGTGCCATTGTTTGTTGTTTGTCTCAAATCTCCACCCATCTATCCGTCCTTCCCTCGGAGTGCAGGGGATTCCTCTTCCTGTGGTCCCATGTGTCCGACCGGTCCTCATTCCTACTCTGCGTGCAAATCATTATCTAATCAGGAAGCGGGGAATCAGATTACTCAGACAGGCACCAGATCTTGTTGAACCAGATGATAGTAACGATGATGATGATGATGATGATGGTAGCACTCTTTCAGCGAGGAGATAAAATGCTGCTCATCCCTCTGGGGAGGATAAAAAAAAACCAACGCCATCTAAAACAGGGGGTATATTTAACGTGTGAATAAACTTCAGACGACTTATTTTTAGTCCATTTATGAGACGAGCGTTTGAAGATGGAGTCAGGCGCATATTTTTAGCAGAAACACTTCCAGGCTGTAATCAGGTGATCAGTAGCAGATGGCCTTTCACGACTCCTCCGTGTGTCACTTTGCCGTCGACGCAGACCCGGCCCACCTGATCGGCAGCAAAAAACACAACTGCTAGGCAACGCGGCTGACCTTTGGAGGGAATTAAGTGAGGACAGTGTGAACCTCTCAGACTCTGAAGGGAGCAAATGGGGCCTAATCACATGTAAGGAGCGGGCGGGTGATTTCTTTCTTTTTCACCCCAGATTATTTCATTTCTGTTTTTCTCAGTCTGTCTTCTGATACCTGCACTTTAATGTGTGCTTTAAGACCTGAGGACGACAGCGTGAACAACACGTTCACAGTCAGATCTGTTTCAGCAGCTGGGCCTGAAAACCAACCACACTGTCACCACTTAGGTGCTGTAGTGTTTGTGAAGCTGATGGCGGATGTATTTTGATGTAAAAGCTGATATCAGGTTTGCAGCTTGTGTATTCAACCTTTCAGTCTGTTACATGCGCTTCAGTTTCTCTGTGCTTTTCTATTTTAAACTATTTCCCCTTTAAATCCAATCCAATAAAATTCACGTTGTTTATTGGGGAAATACCAGAATTACTCCGCAGGCTGCAAAATGCGGCTTTACAAGATCAGACCAGTGCAAACATCATCGCTGCCGACCACTTTCCATAGCATGTCGTAGAGTTTCTGAATCTTAATTCCTGTTCCAGCTTTCCATTTTCATTCAGATCCACATGGTGTCCTAATCAATAAGCAGACTTCTTAAACTCTCTTGACTTGTGCACTCTGGTGTAAAGAGCCTTGTGTTGTTTTCAGGGCTCCATCAATGTTGCATGGTAATGCCTGTAAAGTGCAGATTGATTTAGAAAGTCAACCCTGCATTACCTTGTCGTGGTAATGTAATGTAGAACAACCCTGTACTGCAGTGATGAATCACACAACTCAGAAGAGCTTCAAGATTAAAAAAGAGATTTAAAAAAAATCTTTTATTTGTTATTTTAAGCGTGAGAGCGCTTGATTTAAACTAAGACCTTGTTTGGTCAGGACCAAGCAGGGAGTGGAGACGGCATCGAACAATAGAAGAAGAACAGGATCGGCTCACAGGCTCCTTAGGTTTGAGCAACAAGGACATAAAAATAATAATAATAATAATAATAATATTACAGGGGCAACAAAATTAAAGAAGAGAACAGGTTTATTGATTTTGTCCATTCAAACGTAAAGACAAAAACTTTTCTATGCACTTGATTTCAAAACAAACACTTGCCCGTCTACAAACCAATCAACGTCAAGCACAGGTCGACACAGCTCACGAAGGTGATGCAACAGGACGTATGCTTGTTGTAAAACTTCTTCAGTGCGTTTAGATTACAATGTGAAAAACTAACCAGATCAAATGTGAACAATGGAACAAAGACATTTGTTCAGACTCTCAGGTGTGAGAACGCCCTCGGTGAGACTTCTGTTTTACTGATTGCAAGAATGATAAAGAAATAGGGGTAAAGGTGGAGGTGTAACATAAAGAGGGGAGTCATCGAGTCATAAACTGTCTCACTAATAACAGTCACACATCGACGTCTACCTAATGATTCTCAGACTATAGAACCAGAAACATCCTCAGAGTTTTTAGAGCTTATTATTATCTCTGCTGAGGAGCTTTTGTTTTCACCTCTGTTTGTTGGTTTTTATGTTTGATTGATGAATCTTGATGAAGAATATATTTTTGAGACATGTCTGCGAGTGTGTGCGAATTTGATGCGGATCCAAATAAAAATCTGGATCTAGTGAAGTCAAATAGAACTGGGCCATGGCAGAGGTATGCACTTCATGACAACTCATATTTTTCTCTTGTATATAAGAGAATATTTTATTATTATTGTTCTCCATGAGATATTAAATTACAAAATCTAGACAAAGATGCATTAGCGGGGCAGAAAAGCTTGTGCTCTACTTCCTGGTAGAGATCATATTTCGTAATTGCAAAGCATATTGATTATCAGCTGACCCTCTGTAAATTCAGTATCTATCTATGCCTGTATTGTAATGCATGGTGTCAGGATATGACTTCCTCTCCTCCATTAACTAGTTCCTCCTGTTTCTTCAATGATTGATGAACTTTATCTATATGTTGTCATTAGTGAATTTACTCCAGCACTCAGGACTGTAATGCGTCTTTTCTTATATCCAATCCATCGTGTTGTCGATATCAAACGTGTCTCTTATGTTTTCTGCGAAGCGGCTTTCAAACTCCGGGTCAAATGCTTCTCATGTATCTCTGATGTTTTTATGTAAAGCAAACAAACTGTAGCTCTGTGGACTCATTTCTCCCTTGGGGAAAACCTTCCTTCTCCTCTATAAGCAGATGTCCATCCAGACTTCATGCGTTCGGCTTCAGAAAAACATGCTTCACCAACTTTCAACAACTTCCCTTTCTGTGTCAGATTCAAAATCAGGCTCATTTCTGCCCTGCGTGACCTTTTACGTCTGTTCCCCCTGTTTGAAGGGAAGATCCCCCGAGAAGCCAGTGATACGATTATTCATCACGGGCGTTTCAACAGCTCACTGTCCTCTCTTGTGTTAAACCAAACCAAACGCAGCCCATAACGTTTTCTTTTTGTAATTCTTTAAATGGGCTAATGAGTGTATGGAACGAGACTCTGGCTGCAGGGACTCCCTTGAGTCGAGGTATCATGGGTACCTTCAGCCTGACATCATTTCTGCCAGACTTTTGTTCCACTTTTAAACAGCTCGTAACGTAATAGCGATGGCAAGAGAGGAAAAATAAAACAGTGAGGAAACTAGACAGGCATCCAGTGAGCATATCCCTCCTCATGCAGGGAGGGAGGGAATTCAATCAAGCCGCACCAAATTTCACACACTCAGAAATATAGATAGATATCAGGAATGTTTGAAGAATCTGCACCTTTAACCAGCACCAACATGAAGTTATTTAATCTCTGCTCCAGGTCCCATCCTGCCACACTTTTTGGTGCAGACTGGATCTGCAGGTTTTGTGTGACCCTCCTGAAAAAGATCTAATCCCCTTATGAAACCACATTTGAATTCACTCGATGCAGATTTTCATTTTGCTCTGCACACTCACAGATATTACTCTCTCTTTTCATGAGGATCTATCAGTTGTTCTTATTTAAAGAAAATCCCTGGATCCAGATCTGCACCAACATGTTCCACAGTTCCTAGGAAATCCATCCAGTAGTTTCTTTGTAATCTGTCTTCTATCAAAAATATGAATCACTTAATAAACAAGTTTCAACAAGAGTGAAAACCTTCTTATTGGACGAAAAATGTTTTTAAATCCATCTTTAGAAAAGACTGGTTTATGAACAACGACATATAAAAGTGGTTGTGCGGGGTTCTGTGTGTTATTATCCTCCGCTTCACCGAAGGTCTGCTTGTTGAGAGTGAATCTCGTCGTCTGCAGTCGTGTTTCTGTGCAGAACGGGGGTGATGCTATCTTTTGCTCGCAGCGACGCTTTTTATGCTTTTACAAAAGAAGCAGGAGGCTACTGTGCACCCACCTCCTCTTTTCACTGCATCTGCGTCTCACTGTTTCTCTCTCGCCCGTGCACAGGCAGCCAGTTAGTGCAGAAGCAGGCACTATGTCCACCCCCACAAACCCAGAGGTGAAGGAACTGAACCCTGTCGACTTTATCCAGCTGCAGCAGTACATCGAGTGTGAGTATACAGACGAGCGGGCGGGCGGCTTTCTTTGCACTTAACTCCCCCCAACCCCTTCTTCTAACCACCCACCCACACATACACACTCATTTACACTGGCGTATGGTTTTTCATATCTAGAGAGAGGTAGCAGTTGCATTCTTTTGTTTTGGAAACAAGTCATACACACATTCTGTTCCCCAGCTTCATTGTGATTCATGTTACACAAACACACACACACACACACACACACACACACACACACAGTTAAGTAGGATGTTTGAGAACTGGCCCCGTGTGTGTATCCCTGTGCGACCTGTGTGTCTTTGCTTCCAGACTGCAGCTTGAAGGTGAAGGATGTGCTGAGGGAATTTGATGCAGATGGCAGTCTGGCCCGGCACAGACACGGAGAGGTGAGGGGACGCCGCGTCCTGATGTTCGGCACAAGGTCGACTCCAAAACTCAGGAGGCACATGACTCAACTGAGTTATAGCGCTCAGCGGAGCAGTCTCCTGGGAAATGAGCATGTGACTTATGTCGATTGTCTGGTTATTGATTGTTCTACGCTGATTAATTCAATTCGTACCCATTGATCACGTTGATGAAGCCGTCCGTGAGAAACATCTTCAGCACAATGGAGCGAGGTAGCAAATGTAAATGACTCCACTTGGTTTTGCTTACGCAGCACGGCCTCGGTGGAGAGAGCGCTGGCTGCCCTCGTGCAGAGTCAGTGCAAATGAAATTGAAAAAACATTTCCAACCCTGTACATCAGCGGCTGACGCTGCCAACTCTTTTGCAAACGTTGTAATTTATGATCGAGGATTTAACTACAGACAGTTTTATTGGATAATTGGGATGAAATGCTTGTTTTGTCACAGAGGTAAATATAAATAGTGTTGTAAAGAACAAGTTTGTGACGTCCTAGCCGCACAGGACATTTATTATTATTTTAATATTATGTAAATGTTTGCAGAACAATGTCCTGCACTCCGGTGACAGTTGGTGACTGGAGGCATTATGTTTTCGTGTCGTCGGTCCATCCTTCTTATGAACACCATATCTCAGGAACGCCTTCAGGGAATTTCTTCAAATTTGGTTCAAATGTTCACTTTGAGTCACGGATGAACTCATTGGATTTTGTTCAATGTCACAGTGACTCTGAAACGTTTCCTACTTGGAAGTTAAAATAGATTTTAAAGTTCATGGGACCATCAGGTGGTGTGTGGACGTCTCCTGATCAAGGTCACAGTGATATTGTGATATTTCAGGATCGCACATTGAGAATTTCAACAAGACAAGGATGACCTTGTTATAGTTTGGAGGTCAAAGGTCAGGGTCAGGGATTCGGCTTCTTGACCAGACACTTAGACTCCAAAGATTTAATTGGCTTCATTTAGACTGACATTGCATCGGTCGGTGGAGACAACTGCAGTGCGTTATTTCTTGTCTTGTTGTTCTTCTTGGCCTTGCAGTGACATTATTTATTACTGGGGCAGCTCTGCGGGGCATCAACCACAGAAATGGAATTATGTCAACAAAAAATGGGTTTGTGTTTCACTACGATCGAGCCCTGCAGCAGATTATCATGTGACAACCAGAGACCAGACCACACAGATGGTCTAAAATCCTGTTTTTTTTGTCATATGTAATTGTCACAGGAAAGATCCTGCAACCACTCCAGTTCTGGAGACATGTTTAGACCCATAAATGATGAATTAAGTTCTGCAGAGAAACATCTTGGGTCCCACAATCAAAACAAGAGGGTTGTTTTCCTGAGGAGATTTTGAAAAGTTAACACACACATTTTAAAGTACGGCTCTCCCATTAATTATTCCTTCTAGTGCATCAATGAAGAAGGCTTTCGTCTGTTCCTGAAGACGTATTTAGAGGTGGAGGACGTCCCTGTGGCCCTCTGCCAGCGACTCTTCCTCTCATTCCAGAACTCTGAACCCAGCCAGGAAGATAGCACCAGTGAGATTACACACAACACACACACTTTGTAGCCCTTATCAATTTACACTGCGGTCTATTCTGCTGCCATCTATCAGTGCATGCTTGTGCGGTGCTGCTTGTGCAGATACAGTGAACTGAGCGTTCTCCTCCCTGTCTCCTGTAGAGGAGGTTTTCCTGAAGGATGTGTCATGTTACTTCTCTCTGCTGGAGGACGACCAGCCCCGGGACAAACTGGAGTGTGAGTCCCTTGTTTCTTTTTCTGCCCACAATGACGTGAGTGATGATTCTGGTGCAGCTCTTCCACTCATCTCCCTTCTCTCTTTAGTTGCTTTCAAGCTCTATGACAGAGATGGGAACGGAGTCCTCGACAGCTCTGTAAGTTCTCCAGATTGTGAAGTAACGCCTCATAAAAACTGTCTGCATCTCTAAAACGGGTCTCCTGGTCCTTATTAAACAGGAAGTGGACAGGATTATTGCTCAGATGATGCATGCTGCAGAATACCTGGGCTGGGATGTGTCAGAGTTGAGGCCGGTAAGTCCCACGATGCACTGCTCTGAAATGTAAACATCCCAGAAACACATTAAAGCCTGTGCATACTACACTTTCAGCCATGACACGACAGTAAATGCACATTTGTTTGCACAAGATATCCTTGATGGCGTTGTGTGTATGGCGCCACCTGTCACTCATTTGCTAGGTTCAGTAAAATGATTCTGCTTCTCTGCTCCAATCAGATTCACACATTCTCATGCAGGACAGGTTTTAGAAATTGTGAAGTGTTTGTTTAAGTGATAGAAAATAAGTGATACTGAGATAAAAACAACCATGTATCATTTCACCAGGTTCTGAAGGACATGATGACGGCTATTGATGCTGACAGCAGTGGCACGGTGTCTCTGGAGGAGTGGGTGGAGGGAGGCATGAACAACGTTCCCTTGCTGGTGCTGCTGGGTCTGAAGGTGCTTTGAAAGCTGCATGTTTCTCTTTTCACCAAGCTCTGGCTCTGGCTCGGATGTGTTTAATTTTTAGAGCAGGTGTCTCACAAAGTGGTAAAACCCACTTTTACTGCTCTTGTGAAATCCTGGCCTTGCGTGCATCTGCCTCCTCCCTGTCTGTAAGGGCTTTTTTTGTGCCGACTCAGTGTTACAGGGCGTGTTAATGTCACCGCTTCTCATGCAAACTCTGCACCCTCTGAGCACTTGAGTGTTTTCTCTGTACTCGGTTCAATCTGTGCCGACATTCAACAGCACTTGCATAAAATGGTAATCTTCCGGCGGATGCACTTTATTTGAGTAGAGAAATAAACCATAACCACACCGGCTGCACATCGACACATAAAACCAATTTTCTTAAATCAAGGACGGGTCAGTTTTGTGGATTGTGTTGCCAGGAGTGCAGAAAGAACACACTGTTAGACTGCGTGTCTGGCAGCTCCCTGTGGAAGTTTCTAAGACCACAAAGTGGACTCTGTCACTGGGCTCGGTCTCCACAACAATGCCAGGGACTTCCCCTCGGCCTATTTCTAGCCACCAATAGACATTTGAAGCCCGGGGTGCATAAATCCAGCCCCCTCACAGTTGCTGTGTGCTGCCCCGTGGACCGCCCGCTTCGCCTCAAGCGGAAAGTGAGCCTGATTCATCGAGCAGGAAAAAAAAAAAAATGCATTTCAGCGTGTAATCTGTAAAGAGCGGCGGTCGCTCAGTAAACAGCTTGAAAGCAACTTTATAATCTTGTGTCGAGAATTTGAGATTATACTCGGCGTTGATTTGAATCGCCCTGGTGCTGCACAGTGTGTCAGGGTGTGTCGAGCCACTACACACTGCATAATCTGTGTTCTGGAAGTTTTCTGGAAGCTGGTGAAAGGAGAACTCAGGCAGGAGCTGATGTCTTATGCAGACGATTGTAATGTAGACTTGAGGCATCAAGTCGACCAGAAGGTGCAACAATATACAAACTCTAACAGAGTAACATGAACAACTGTCGGCCCCACAGCATCCCAATATGAACGTCCCTCAGCATAGACACTACGATGTTCTGTTTATCTACAACCTGACCTCGTGTACTGCTTAGAGAGAGAAGGCACTCTTCTCTTAATGGTGTACAGATATAATGTAATGTACATTATATACATAATACGGTGTATAGTGGCATATACAGTACTGTGTGAGGATATATACGAAGATTCCTCAACAATCAGCAGTGTCATTAAGGCAAGGTTAGTCATGAGTGGGTTGAAAAACTGTGAAACACAAGCTTTTACCACAGGACGTTTCTGATCCAAAGTCTAACAAAGGAAATAGATGTAAGCTTCTTATGTTACAGACGTTTTGTTTTCTATTCAAACCACAGACGAGTTAGCACAATAGCACGAAGCTTGAAGCACAATCCTCTGCTCTTTCTTGCATCTCCATCTTTTTACGATTTCCTCCTTCAACAAGCAGATGACCCAGAAGGACGGTCAGCACCTTTGGAGGATGAAACATTTCAACAAGCCGGTTTACTGCAACGTGTGTCAGAGCTTGCTGCTGGGTCTGAGGAAGCAAGGGCTGTGCTGCACCTGTGAGTTCCTGGATTCACCAGAAGAGGGCGACGCTGCGGGGACATTTGCTCATTGAATTGCAGCATCAATTCCCACACGTTTCTATATTCAAATGAAAGCTGGGTTCTTGTCTCGCAGGCTGCAAGTACACAGTCCACGGACGCTGCGCTAACAAGAACCCGGCTCCTTGCACCAGGACGTACGTGAAGTCGAAGAAAGACATGGGGGTAATGCCAGTTGTCTCCATGACAACATGAGCAGTGACACTGGCAGTCTATATTAAACTTCATCCTGTGTGTCTGTGCTCTGCTCTTAACGTTAAAACATTCATCCCACATCTCAGGTTCCAGCACACGACTGGGTGAGTGGGAACTGTGACTCGAGGAAGTGTGATAAATGCCAGAAGAAGATCAAGAGCTTCCAAGGCTTAACGGGCAAACACTGTGTGTGGTGCCACACGATGGTGAGGAGGCTTCTCAATGTGTGACTGCTTCTTCGTCGCGAAAGTCTGTTTTGGTCATTCTGGTTTTTTGTACTGAATTCCTCCTCTTCTGTTCTTCCTGTGAGCATCCAAGATTAGAAATTTAAAAAAAAACATGATGTAAAAGATAAATATAGATCCTGTCAATCATCTGTCTGTGTTTTGACAGTGTCACGACGAATGTGCCGACCAGGAGCCAACGGAGTGCTCCTGTGGGCCGCTCAGAGACCATGTCCTGCCTCCATGGGCCATATATCCTGTTATAAAGGTACTGAATCATCCTCATGTACAGTACAAACACCAACGCAGAACAAAACATCAGCCCGGGGCTGTTTCTGTGTTGTGGGTAAAACCTGCCTCGACAGCTGCAGCGAGGGGAGATTTGTCTTCAAAATGCTAATTTGTTCCCTCTGCACTTGGTTTTGCTGCCTGAAGGAGAGACCAAACAACGTGAAGAATTGCTGCTCGAGTTCGACGGACGACAGCGAGCTCAATACTACTCCTGATGGACAAGTGCTGCAGGTATTATTCTGCCTCGTGGCGGCTTTTATGTTTAAAAAGTGTGATGTCTGTGGGCTGAGTTAGAGAAAGGTGTAGAGTAAACTCAGTAGTAAACCCATTTCTTTTTATCATTTATCACATGTGATATATCCATCAACAGCTTTTAGTGATTATAGAATTTAATTGCTCCTCTTTAAGGCCTTAAATTGCCTCCCATCCAAACACCTCTCAGGTGTGTTGACCCCCTGAGATCCGCTCTGGTTACTCACCTCATAACAAAGGAATTTTTTATTCATGAGATTATTGTTTATATTCTTTGCTTCTAGGTCTTTAGTTAATTCCTGGATCTCTTTAGGGCCTGATGTGTATTATTTTGTGCAGTTTGGTGCAAAACCAAACGAAAATCTGGATCTATATTGAATTTAAATGTGTTTTCATTAGGCACTCTATATATAAGTATATAGATATACAAGTTATAGTTTTATTTATTTACTTATTGTTCTCTGCTCAAGTTCCATTGTTTTATTCTCATTGTATCTTCCTGTCTGGTGTCATTTCTTGCTTGTACGGCAAAGTGATATAAAAAATGTATTAATATTATTAAAACATAAATTTTTTGTGTCCTTCAGATCAGCCCTGTGTCAAACACCCATCCTCTTCTCGTGTTTGTTAATCCCAAAAGTGGAGGCAAGCAGGGAGAAAGGTGAGTCGCAAAAAAAGCATTCATGTAGAAATACGTGTGTCTAAAACCTGCACATTGTTCAATCTGGTTTTACCTGTTTCAGGGTCCTGCGTAAATTTCAGTTTTTGCTGAACCCGCGGCAGGTTTACAACCTTTCAAATGGTGGACCTGGACCAGGGTGAGTCATCAGCAGATTATTATCTTGGTGAAACAGAAAGAAACGTAATAGATCATTTCGCATCATTTTGTACTATTTCAGTCCTGTATCGGTTGTTGTCGTTATATTTGTCCTCACATTTCTTCCAGACTGAGCTTCTTCAGAAATCTGCAGAACTACAGGATCTTGGTGTGCGGGGGAGACGGCACCGTTGGCTGGATCCTGGACGCGATAGGTGAGACTGTAACTCCATAAAACTCCGTGTGAGCTTCTGGCGGAAATTGTCACGAGCCTTTATTCCGTTTATTCCTTTTCTTACAATCAGACAAAGCCAACCTGCAGGTACGACCACCTGTCGCCGTGCTTCCTCTGGGAACAGGAAATGACCTTGCACGATGTCTGCGATGGGGAGGAGGTGTGGAACGATTTTTCCTTATTATGACAATAATTAAATTTAATACACGTTTCATCCAAATAGATGTTGTTTTTTTTTAAATATTCGTGCACAAGGACCTGCTCGGTCAGGTTGATCCTCTCGTTTTCACTGTGCAGGATATGACGGCGAGGATCTGACTCGTATTCTTAAAGACATCGAGGGGAGCTCTCAGGTGCTGATGGACCGCTGGAGCGTGCAGGTCATCACAGATGAGAACCAGGAGAAGGGTGACCCGGTGCCGTATGAAATCATCAACAACTACTTGTCCATTGGAGTTGTGAGTTTCTTAGAAATACATCACCTGAGAGGAAGTGTTTGTTTTTTAGAGTTTTGTGTTTGTAAAGTTGTTGTGTTGTGTTGACAGGACGCCTCCATCGCTCACCGCTTTCACACGATGAGGGAGAAACATCCACAGAAATTCAACAGCAGGTTTGAATCTAACTCTTCCTCTTGCTCTCAATTTGACTCCGTAAGCAGGTGTTTGTGTTCCTGCTTATGACGACTGATTCTTAAAACTGATAAAGGTCACATGCAGGGGAGTCTGCAGTCGCGAGTGTTGTGACCAGACACCTCCTCCTGCTGACGAGCTGTATGCACAGTGACCACAGTGAACTTAAAATATGTCCCAACCCTGAACTGCACACTTCTGTGTGACTGCAGAATGAAGAACAAGCTGTGGTATTTTGAATTCGCCACGTCAGAAACCATCTCTGCTTCCTGCAAGAAGCTGAACGAAAGCCTAACGATCGAGGTGAGAACGCAGCGCTGCCGTAACCACAAGTGCACGTGTGCAGTGTAAAATGAGCCCCGCCCCCACAGCCAGTGTACTAATGCGTCACTTTGCTGCACCCCCATCAGTGCTGCGGTACTCCCCTGGACCTCAGCAGCCTGTCTCTGGAGGGCGTTGCTGTACTCAACATTCCCAGCATGCACGGTGGCTCCAACCTGTGGGGCGAGACCAAAAAAGGAGACGCTAAGGCGCTGTCCAGTCAGGAGGAGCCACAGGTGATCATCGACCCAGAGATCCTCAAAGTGACGTCCCAAGGTATGATGAGTGATTCATGTAAAGTCAGTCATGTTTGCCTTGAAGAAGTTTCTTCAAATTTGGCACTCGAGGATAAAACGATTAGCTGTTGGTGGTCAAAGGTGAAAGGTCAAAGGTCAAATGTGAAAGGTCAAAGGTCACAGTGGTCTCATAAAACCTGTTTTTGGCCTCTAGAACTTGTGAGGACTGAACTGTGAGTGTGAGTGTGAATGGTTGTTTGTGGACCTGTGCAGGGTGTAACCCACCTCTCACATAATCTATCTATCTATCTATCTATCTATCTATCTATCTATCTATCTATCTATCTATCTATCTATCTATCTATCTATCTATCTATCTATCTATCTATC